AAAACATGGTTAAAATCGCAGAGTTTCAAGACACAACAGGTAAATCTGCAGCAGCAAAATGATGAAAATGATGATACAGCACCTGCCTGCGTAAGTATCATGACGGGTGACGACTGGGACCAAAACGTCGATGGCCACAGGGAAATTTAAACGATGCCATCTTTGCGTAAGCTCCCTAGTACTGTGCCTGCTTTGTCTGTACCTGTGGCTACTGTGCCTGTGAGTAAGTACTGTGCCTATGACTGCTGTGCTCGCGACTACTGTGACTCCACAATACCGCAAACTTAGAAGAACAGGTCTGCCTGGAGGAAGAAATATTACTGGTTAAGGAAACCAAAGTTACATGATTGTTAGATATTCTTGTGGAATTATTCAAATACTGCATCCATCCCGGCTGTGCAAATAAAGCAAGTTTCAAAAAACACACAATAGGCCCAACTTAGATTATTAACTGGAATTGCCCATCTGGTCACCATGGGAGATTTTCCTCTCCCAGATACGTTAATGCCATGTATGCTAACAATCTTCACGTAGCTGCTGCAATCCTGCTATCAGGGAACGAAGTTTAAAAAGCGGCAAGATTTATGGGTCTGTCCTTCTTTCAGACGCCACATTCTTCAGGATGCAGAGATTGTACCTAATACCTGTTGTAAACGTAAAACGTAAATTGTAAAATATTTTTACAAGGTAGAGGAATAAATCTCAGTTTTTAGAGCTGATCTATTCACCTTCACATCTTGATTTCCCTGATTCTCTCCTCCTCTTCACTGGGCCAGTAATTACTAGCCTGGTACCGATTTCTGGTTTTCTCTTTGAACTGGATGATGAACTGTACGAGGCTAGGACAAATACACTCAAGAGAAATAAATACCACGAGCAATTGTTATGCAAGGCTTTCTTACACAGCTTTCTACAAATAAGTATATAAATAAATCTTTTCACATACATATGTACATTTAAGATGAACAAACACAAGTAAAGTGTCCCCTTAAGGTAAAAAAGCAGTGCAAATTCAGTAACCGTAAGAGCCCACCTTGTTACAACACGGTTTTACTGTTGAGCTGCAAGCACAATGGCTTGAGCATATAAGGCCTTCTGTTTTATGGGGATGACCTGTTTGCCCTGCTGGTTCGTTTTGTTAAGCAAGTGCTTCCACAAGAACGAGAGATCCTATTTTCCTAAAAGAGAGGAAGGCGAAAATGATAATTTGGATTAAACCATAAAAGTGACTTGCTACAGATCGTGGCCATAATTCTAACTCCTGATGGTCCAGATGGATAAAATGTATTGTAAACTGTCTAAAGGCAACTTCTAGGGGCGAAATGTAACAACAAATCGAAGAAACCGACGGATCTTCCTCAAATCCAATATGGCCGACAGCTTGTTGCTTCACCTTGATCTGCGCAAATCTCACACATGCGCAGGTTGTGACGTAGCTCTTTTAATGTCTTCTAAAGGAAACCCGAAGGCAAGAAAAACGCGCGCACATTTCTCAAAATGTCCGAATTGAGTACCCCAATCAAAAAAGAAATTGATGTAGCATTGAAGATGTGGCTTTATTAGGTCATGCAGCAGGCGAATTATCTGTTTTGTGGCAGGAGCAACTCAAACCAGCCTTAAATCCTGAATACCATGCCCTCTGATCTTTGGGGACAATGTCCTCATAGAAGCTGCTATTTGCGAAAAAAGTCGGTGATGTCAAACAAACATGGTAAGCTCCTCTAGGAGCCACAACCAAGGATCCCCCGTGATTCATGGGCAAATAAAAGAGAAAGCCACAACCAGGACAGTTCCTATACATGACCACCTTTTTTGAGGAAGGGCACGCAACTGACCAGTCGTAAGAAATCCCACCATCAGAAGAGTGACAGCCCTGTAGGAAAGAAATAATGCTTTCCCTTGAACAAATCAAATCATAACTCATGCACAACTAAGCGCATGAGGAGTAAAATGCCCTCCGTTTCGTTTTTTTTTTTTCGTGTCACGGGCATGTAAATTTATGCTTGCATAGATTAACACAAATGAGTGTAAGGTTTGCTTTGGCTTGGCATGGTAAGCTCCTCTAGGAGCCACAACCAAGGATCCCCCGTGATTCATGGGCAAATAAAAGAGAAAGCCACAACCAGGACAGTTCCTATACATGACCACCTTTTTTGAGGAAGGGCACGCAACTGATCAGTCGTAAGAAATCCCATCATCAGAAGAGTGACAGCCCTGAAGGAAAGAAATAATGCTTTCCCTTGAACAAATCAAATCATAACTCATGCACAACTACGCGCATGAAGAGTAAAATGCCCTCCGTTTCTTTTTTTTTCATGTCACGGGCATGTAAATTTATGCTTGCATAGATTAACACAAATGAGTGTAAGGTTTGCTTTGGCTTACGAGGAATTAGAGGAATGATTTACTCGATACAAAAGCTCCCATGTAATAGCTGCTATCTGAATAAGCTATTTGTTACAGAAAAATTCCAAGCATATGTTAGTTAAATCTTTTAACTGTCCATTAAAACACTCGTAGGGGATTATTCAAAAAACATTATAGCTACTGAAAAATGTATTGTTGTGTCAGAAAAGTTCATGGAAAGATTGGCAAAGAAGTATGAGTCTTAAAATGACAAAAAGGTCAGGCAAAGTGATCACGATCAACAAGCCCGTTTTCTCCTAGTGATCTTTGAGAACCTTGCAGCAACTTTGAGAATTACTTTGAGCAAAACTGAGAGTACATGAGGAAGTTTGAACCGACTTTTAGCAATCTGTGCTGTTCTTAGAACTGTTATTGTCAAAAAGGCATGCAACGAGGTGAAAATGGGGAATAGTTTACAACAATACAGGCTAATCGTTGGCATGCATTCTGTTTATTTAGTGGCAAAGGAATTTCGAGGATGCTTCAAGGGGAAATTCTGGTGTTCTGTCTTACTTTTGTTTTACTTAGAGGCCATATATTTGCCAGTATTGAAACGTTTGGTTCATATTTATGAAATGTCACAAATGAATTGCCCATGACTTACACAGATTTATTTGTATCACTTTTCAGTTGACATTTACACAGTAGCAATATACTGTCTGCCTAATGCGAGGTATAAAGTTTTTGATTCTCATAGCCATTTTGGCTGAGAAAGAACCCTCTAGAACACCAGTGAAGATCACTCGCTACACCAAGACTGCCAATCTGACTAAACTAGTAGTAAATGACATAACTCAAATCACACTTCCAAACAGCTTTGAGTGCCCATTTCAATTCTCACAAGAACTCAGCCAGCAGGAACTAATAACCTTAGATAAGATCCATGAAGGTCCCGAGGATAACATAACGTTGGTATGTAAAGTCCTTAAACTTGGTGAAACAAAAGTTGTAGGCCAAGCGAAGTACCATGTCCTCGATGCTACTATTGCTGATGCCACAGTATCCAGTTGTTTCTCCTACGGTCTGTTCGCCTACATCTAGAGTCGAATCGCCTACATCTTGTATGTCAAACACAACAACAAAAGTCGATACATTCTATCCTCTATGTCTAGAAAACCAACGCGCTAAAACACTCAAGTCAGAATGTTTTTAAACAATTTATTATGGCAGAACCCGGTCATCTGCAAATAGAATGTGTGAAAAATATTTTGCTTAAAATGATTTAAGAAACGTGTGATTGTAAAACTGAAAGACCTTGGAAGAGTCATGGAAGTGACTATGTTCTCTGCCGTGCCAAGCCCTCCATCGGGCACAAGGACTGAGGGACGGATACGGAGTGTTTAAAGAAACTACACACCAGTTAAACAAATCCGAAAAATAGAGAATACTACTTGACAACTGATGAACTAATGACCTACATTGTAAACCTTGGACTTTCATTCTTCCCTTACAGCCAAGTCTCGGCATCATTGAATCTTCCATTGAAGAGCCACTCATGGGAGATGTCACAGTGTTCGAGAACCTAACTCCACACAATCGCATAACATTCCAACTAGTGGAAGAAGGGAGTAAGCATCGCAAAACAAAACTAGTGGACAGCTGGGGATACAGTTACAATGTCAGGTCCAAATGGTCATACGAAACTTACTGGCAGTGCACGATCCTTCCTTGAGAAAATGCTTGCAAGGCTACGGCAATACAGCAGGATGGAACTTTTCAAGCAGGAACCAAGGCCCATAACCATTCTTCAGAACCAGGGGCAGTGACAGGAGCCAAAATCGTGAAGTTAGTAAAAGAGAAGGAGGATAAGTTCAAGCTGGCTTCAGCAATGGTGGGAGAGGTATTTATCTTGCACCTTACGGACTTACAAGTGAACTTAGCTAACTGACGCTTACGTAAGAATAACGTGTAATTTTCAAACCCGAAATTTTCTAATTTCTAATTTTCTATGTCATAATTATTTGATAATTCAGAACATTCTACAAACTTTTCAAAGACTTTCTTAAAAACAACAACAACAACTCTTTATTCCATTTTTGAGAAAAATAACTGAAAGACGGTTAACTGTTTTCACAAGAGTACCAATTTCTGCCTTAAGGGCTTGGTTTTCATTCTTCGTGATTGTAACAAATTCAGACATCTTTATACCTTAAAATGCAAAAAGAGTATCAATTTCTGCTTTAAGGGCTTTGTTTTCTTTCTTGAGAATTGTTAAGTAACGTTTTTTATTTTCCTCCTTTTTTTCAGGTCTCGTTAGTTAAACTGAACGACGCAGGTTGTCCAGCACTCTCTAAGCCAGAGGATATGGCTTGAGCTGCAAACCGTTCATGGCAGAGACTTTGCCCGGATTTTCACGTAAACGGAGGCTCATAATTTACAATTATTTAGCTTCGATAGGCTTGATTTCACGAGTATAAAGGCAACTTAACTCCAAAGCGGCGGTTAATATTGAGTTGGTTGATTCAGAACACAGTGTTCTGAAAATGGTTTAGGAATTGAATCGACTGACTAGCATCCGAGCGCGATCTCACATAAAATATTCGTCAGGAAAATAGCGCAATTGTCTTGAAGCCAGAGCAGGAAAAAACCATTAACAATCTTGTTAATGGGAGAGATGTCATGGCAATTTTGCCAACAGGTTTTGGCAAGAGCATGATCTGTACTGTCTTCGCTCTTTCCAAAGAAATCTCTTCATTGAAAACGTGTGATTGTCATTGCCCCTTTGAAAAGTATTATAGATGACCAGATTTCCAAAATGTTGTCGCTAAGCTGCACGGCAATAGAACTTACGATGGAAGCAGTGAATGTGGTTCGAGAGAGTCCACCTCAATTTCTCTATTGCTCCGCTGAGAAGGTGTTAGAAAAGGCATTCCTTGCTGCTGTAAAAGAAAACAGTGCTCTACATCGAGCTGTGTCGGCGATTGTGGTTGACGAATCACACACAGTTGAAGCTTGGACAGGACAAAGGTGAGATTCTTCCAATTTGTCGTAGTTTACATCCTTGTGGGTGTCATGTTTAGAATATAGTTCATGGTCTCTCATAACCTTATATTTTGTCAGTCTTTTCATTTTTTGGCAAGAAAAAAGCAAAGCAAAGGTGCGAAACCTGTTCAAGTGTTCTGTGGAGCGTATGGAAAGTTAGCTATTCTTCGGTCAATGTGCAAAGACGGTAAGAAAATAATTTAAGTTACATGGTGTCATTCGCATCTTTAACACTACACAAACAATCAGAAACAATACAGCAGATATGCAAAAAAACTATTATGAAAACCTTCACAACCTAATCTTCATGTTAGCCAGTATTTTACGAACCTGCTCTATAATTTTACCCTCGATCGGTCGTATTTTTAGTTTATGGTATCCAATGTTTAAAGCTCAGCCTTGTGTAATGGTAATTCATTCACATGCATTGCCGCCAAAACAGAAAAAGAATAATACAGTGTATGATATAAATGAAAACCTGCTGCCTTTAAGGGCTTTAGAAGGGCAATAATTTAAGTGTAAGAAAGTTGTAGACTTATTCATGAGCTCATTTCATGTACAACAACCAATTGCTAATTTAAATGATGAAATTGCAACAGAAAACCTACTGGAAAATTTGACTAATTTCATATGTACTCTGAAAACGTTTAGCTTCTCGAACTCGCCACAAGACTTCAGTCCTTTGTCCTGTAGTTAGTATTGTAGTATATCAATTATTATTGTTTTATTGTAGGAATTCCTTTATTGGCTCTCACTGGGACTGCAGATAGGGAAACTGAGAAGACAGTTATCAAAGAGCTTGCCATGAAGGATCCTGTCAAGTTGTTTGTCAGCCCAAACAGATGCAATCTGCGACTATCTATCAACAAAGTTGGAAGAATTGAAATGTTAAAGCAACTTGATTGGATTGTTGGAATGATAAAGACAAATGGCAAGGAAACTCCCAAAACCATTGTGTTCTGTGACACCATGTATACTGCATTGCGAGTGTTTTCAACTACCTGATGATGTCACTTGGAGAAAAAGCTTTCCATCCAAGCTTATCACGGCAGCCAAAAAATTGTTTGATTGCCATATTTCAGTCCCTTTCTCATAAAGAGTACAAAGACAGGTTATTAAATTCATTTAAAAACAATGGACTAAAGCTTATTGCCAATGCTACTACGGCCCTCAGTATGGGAGTAAACTTTCCTGATGTTCGCTATGTTATAATGTATGGTCCTGCGAGAAGCCTTCTTGATTTTCATCAAGAAGCAGGTAGGGCTGCAAGAGATGGCCTGTCTTCAGACATTCTATTATATTTTTATGGTCAGAAGTTGGCACATTGTGAGGAAGATGTGCGTGACTTTTTGAAAACAAGTGGTTGCTACCGTATAGCAAGCTACAAGACATTTGATCCAAAGATTGCAAGTCTGTCTCCATCTTATGACTGCTGTAACTTTTGCGCAGTTTCCTGTGTTTGCAGTGGTTCAAATGGTTGTACCGAATCAATCAAGCCATTTGAGAGGAAATAAGCTCTATCAACAATAGTACCAACCAAATGTAGATGTTGCAGTTAATTTTTTATCTTAGTTAATTTTTGTTTTTCCTTTGTTTAAAATTCATTAGCATACATTACCATACCCCAAAACAATGGAAAAATAAAAATTAACTGGGATAAAAAATTAACTACAACATAGACATGTAAGTGACGAGGACAGGAGTATTTTGAATGCTGCTCTCTGTGAGTTGCAGGAGAGTCATTCCTGCAGTGCATTTGGGTATTGCCATGGCTTTTCAAAGGAGCTAGTTTCTGACTGTGTGGCAAACTGTCACAAATTGTTTACTCTCGAGGACATAACCACCACTGTGCCTGTTTTTTCAAAAAAAACACGCTCTTAAAATTCTTGAAATTTTAAATGAGATGTTCAGTGACATTGATGAGTCTAGCTTAACTGATCCAACAAATAGTTTCTGTGAAGAGCTCATTACTGGACTGGAAGAATTGTTTTTGTGTGATCATCCTAATTTTGAAGATCATTTACCAGATCCAGATGCTTTATTAGACTGAATCTACACCTGAGTTAATGTAGACACTTGTTAATACTAAAGGTATTAGCAGATCCAATCGGAAGGACAAGGACAACTTTGTTGTTTGCCCCTTAAAAGTTGTCTTGGGTCAATGTTTCATTTCCTTCCCTTTTGTTTGCAAAAGTCTCATATTTAGTATCCAGTAAAAAAGTGACAAGTGTAACTTTGATGACTGTTATTTGAAGAAGTGACAGTTTATTAACATTTGCAATATTTATATATTGAAGTATTTATCGTCAAACTGAAAACTGTGGCTGCTTCTATTGCAGTTATAAGCTCCTTGGCCTCAGTTGTTCAAACGTTGAATAGCGCTATCCACCGATTAAACCACAATCCAGCAGATCAGTGTTAAGGAAACTTAATTGCACTATTCACTGGATTGAGTGTTATCCAGTGGATACCATTATCCACCTTTCAAACACCTGGAGCCTGGGATTCAAGCCCTCCTAAAACCCCTTGCAAAGACGTACAAGCCTCGGACTATGACTTTTGAGGTGGGTACGGGCGATTAAAAAAAAAATTCGGGCAGGCAGATTTTGAGGGAAAAAATTGTTTGCAATGAAATACACAAGGAAATTCCTACACTGAAAAATATCTTTCACTGCTTGTAATGCTGAAAAACAAATCTTACACTGTTGTACATGTCAGAAAATAATCTTTCACCAGGGGAATCCACATCGCCCATACCACCCCACCACACACACACACACTAAGAGTCAAATAGCTGACCCTTTATAAGAGGCAGTTTACTACCGTACATTATTTTTTTTTATTATATGGTTGCGGAGGTTGGCAAAAAGACAATTCTGTATTCATATTAGCCACCCAACCTGGCTAGTTTAGATGTGCCTGCCTGTTTGGGATTTCTTATTGGTCTCACAAGATACAGTTCCTTTGGTCCTTGTATCTAAAACATTTACAATGTTTTTTTTTGGTGATGGCTGGCTGGTGGCATTTTTATTGACCTTGACTTCCTCTTGATCCGTACTAAACTGCCATTCAAAATACCCTGAACAAATTTTATGGCTATTTTCATGTGATTTTAAAAACTCGCTGTTTAAATGAAAAAAAAAAACATGTAAAGTATGTTTAAATGAATAAGTAAAACTACACTAATTATAGAAGGTTAATGGTACTTGATTTATAAACCCACTTGGTAAATAAAATCATACTGTACAGGAAAGAGGAATCCCCGCTTCTTGGGGTATATCGATTTTAGTTGGGATTCAATATGACTTCAATTAAACACTTCAATTAAACTCTGTTTAATTTATAGATAGGCTGCTGTGTCTTAATAAGCCCATTCATCCACGTGTGTAGATCACGGTAATGTGATACGTAATACGTAATATTATGTTTGAATGCAGAAATTTGCATTAAATCGCAGATCAATTGGTGAACAGCACCTTCAGGATAGAGCATAATATGTTAATTCACCCAACTTCTAAGATAGGGGCCTGGGTACTACTCTGTCATCCCGCATTGCTCTCGTTTAGTTTCCTTGTCATTCTGTGACAAGAACCAGTGACATTAAAGACATGTACTTGTGAAATGGATGAACTCCTATCTATGACAAGGAAACTCTGAGCTAAGGAATCAACCACTGACAAAGCAATCAACGACAAGCGTTCTACATTGCCATAAAGACAAATATCTTCGCATCACCTCCACTGCCATATTGTTTCCCCCATTCTCACGGCACCACGAGGAGCGGGCAAACAACGACAATGAGGACAACAAAAAACACAAAGGACCTTCCCAGCACACACAAGACAACAATGCCAAAATAACAGTGCCCGTTCACTGAATGCACATATGAAACGGAAAACGTCAAAGATGAACTCGCTGCCGTGCTGCTATTGGTCCACTCAACTGGCATACACACCGCTTCACCGGCCAGCGCTGCATGGGCAGCCGCCAAAGTCGAAAAGGTCCGACGACCCACAGTATCTGCTGCGGGATGCAGCGAGGAATGGTCATATTTTCTAACTCTAGAGTTACGGGCAAAGACAGGGTCGTACAATTACTTGAATGTTGCGACAAACAGTTACGCAAGTTCTAACAAAGAACACCGGCGGCTCGCTAACAAATAAAACTGTGGATGAAGTTATGGCAGCTATCAAAAACACTTGCTGTGAGAGAAGAGAATACAATGGTTGCCTGAGTCCAACTCCACAACATGAAACAGGACCAGGACCAGGACGAAACAATAAGCAGTTTTGGCGCCCGCCTACGCGGGCAGGCTAGCGTGTGCAAGTTCACCATTAAATGCCCTACCTGCGAAGCAGACATCAACTACACTGAGAATATCCTCTGCGATGTACTAACACATGGCCTTACAGACAGCGAAATTAAGCTGGACCTATTAGGTGACAAGAATCAAGATATGGCATAAGAAGAAGTCTTTCAATTCGTTGAAGCGAAAGAGGCTGGCAAACCGTCTGCCGGGCACTTTTCAGATACCCTTGGGGCCAATGCAGCCAGAAGTCAATATCACCATGGCAAGAGGAACTGAAACAGCACAAGGCTGCAAACAATAACGAGCCGTGCACTTATTGCAGCAGACGAGGCCACGGCAAGAATGCCCCACCCAAGGTCAAGAAAACTGACTGCCCTGCGTACGGTTTGTTATGTGACCATTGCAACTGACCTAACGTACTGACACAGTACACCTTGCACCTGCCCACGCCGCCAGAAACCACCACCCCGGCCAACGCAACTACCCTTCCCAGCAACTGAGGCTAATTGGCCGCACCTGCAACAATGGCTTCTGGACTATTACAGCACCAGTACATTCAACACCTGTGATCACCAGCCACTACCACTGATGGGGGGTGTCCCTATGAGGCTCATGGTCAACCCTACTGCTGACCAGTCGCCCACCACAACCCCGTTCCCGTACCACTTCACTGGCAAGCAGACGTAAAGAAAGGCCTTGATCAGGACGTGATGCTCGCTGTCCTTGAACCAGTACCAGTGGGTGAACCAGTGACATGGTGCCACCGCATGATTGTGTGTGCAAAGAAAAATGGTCAACCTCTCCGCACAGTGGACTTTCAGGCACTCAATCTTCATGCTACACGTGAAACCCACCACACACAGAGCCCATTTCATCAAGCACACTCTATACCCAGTCACAAATGGAAGACTGTCTTTGACTGCTCGAACGGCTACCACAGCGTACCCCTCCACCCAGACAACCGCCACCTCACCACATTCATCACCCCGTGGGGGTGATATCAATATAAAACTGCACCCCAGGGATACATAGCATCCGGTAATGGCTACTCAAGACAGTTTGATGAGATCGTTGCTCATGTCCCTAACAAGACTAAATGCATTGACGACACGCTACTCTGGGCAGACAACCTCAGTGAGAGCTTCCGGCAGGCAGTTGATTGGCTGGATATTTGCAGACACCACAGCATTACCCTGAAAGTGCACATAACGAAATTTTTTTTATTTTGTCATCCAAATCTACATATCAAGCAATCACGTTTCCCGAAGAAATTTTTTGATTCCATCGAAAAGCGATTTTTTAATGATTTTCTAAAGTCTTTGAAATCATAGTTTTTCACGGTCTACCTGTTCCGCTGATAAGAATACCGACGGGCTCATAATAAGCCCACGTGATTTGTCTGTGACGTAGACTCAGGAACCTTTGTTGTGAACTTATGTGAACGCGTCTCACTGATTCCTTAAGATTTGGAGCGAAACAAGCGAAAGAAAGACAGAAATTTACCAGAATAGTTAAAGCCACAGCCAAAAATCAGCTGTATCAACGATGGAAGAAATCATGTCTGGTACAGAAAGTGAACGGACCGCCGAAGACAGTCAAGACGAGTTTGAAAGCATAGAAGTTGAGGCCACCGAGCTTGGCGAAAATCGAGCAAGTGGCATCGCTGTAAGCACGAAAGCAGATGATTCTTTAGAACCATACGCTGACGAGCCACTGGCTGATGAAGCATGGTTAGCCAATTATAGGAAAATACAAGAAGAGAAAAGTGAACTAGAGGAGGATTTAATCAAACGGCTGGAGAACAGAGTGCGAGTTAGTTACTGGTAAGTTCGCTATCTTTACCAACATTCCAACAAACCTAAATCCAATCCTGCAACAACTGTCAACGAATTATTTCTCTTTCGCAGGTGTTCTTGTGGGAACTGTAGCCTAACTCATCTTAGAAATATCAGCGAGTGCTACTGCTGTAAAGAGCTCGAAGGCTGCTGTGAAGCACTGGAGAGTGATATTGTTGTAGAAGACTTGGAAGAAGGAGATGTGTTAAAATGCATAACAGAACACCCTGGCTTTAGACCTGTTTGTCTGGAAAAATGGAGCTTGCGACTTGCCAATGGAAAATACCATAAAAAGGACAAGGGGTATTACAAAAAGGTGGCATCGGAGGAAAGGTGAGATAATAACAAATAATGTTTTTTTTTTTTACTTGCATAACATGTACATGTCGGTTATCAAAACTGTCCATGTTGCCGTAGTTACAGATCACACTGCTAGGTCTAGGAAATTTTGGTTTTTCCTTAAAAGTTTAGTTTCAGTACAATGCTTCATAAACTTAACCAGAAATATGCTAATCGCAGAACCTCGCAAGGCAGATAGTAATGGTGAAAAGTGGGAAGAAAGGGAAAAGAATAGAGTAAAGAAAACATCTGAAAAAAGGAAGAGTGAAATTGAACCACAATGTAGATATTATCTATAGTGTTTGAGGATGATTTATTTATTTACTTGTTTCTTTTGTAGATATCTGGGATCAACTGCCTATCGGGAATTTTCAAGGCTGGTATATGGATTCATGGGCAAAAAAAGAATACCTCTGCCATCATGTGCATATAATGCCATCCGCACTGCATTCGCTCTACAGGAGGATGAAACCTTTACTGGTTTTGAACTGGAGGATGATTAAAGTAGAAAAAACTAGCCACAGATAGTTTTGATTTTACACAATTTTTCCAGAGTCATAGGAATTAAATTTTTGATAATATCTCTGGCCTCATTCTAAGCATAAAATGTCTCCTGCATGATTATGTCACTTTGCCCAGCAAGTATCATTGACAGAATGTCAGAATGAAATACAGTAACGTTCGATTTCTGAGAACATTTGCTCTTTTTCTTTCACGTCAAACTGAATTTTCACACCATTTTAAAACAGTATAGTCCAAATACCTTGCAACATTTTTCATTGTTAACTCATATCAAAACAGTAGTTTTATGTGTAATGTATTATTCTCCTCTGTCACAATGCCTTGGTACTTTTAAAATAAGGGCAGAGACTTTGGTTAAATCCTTTTTCTGTCCAAACAAGATGGTTTTGCTCTGCCTTTGCTCCTTAAAATGTTTTCAAAGTAATAAATAATCTCTTTATCATCGTAAATTATCCAAATCATGTTAATAGACAATGCCCACCTAGAGTAACCTTTGCTATTTGTGGGCAGTGAGAAAATAAAATTGTAAATATCTGAATAATCACATTACAGTTTACAAGATAGGTTGGTGATAGTGTTTTTGTACTACCAGGAAATCTCTTTTTACACATGTATTTACTTAAGTAGAAAAATTGGGTACAAACATGATATTGTTTTGCAGCCAAACATTCAAAGTTTGGAGTAGGTGGCTGTTGTCAACTCGACTTGTTTTCACTCAACAAAATATTCTTTGTAAGAATTTTTAGACGTTAAGAATAATTTCCGAAAAACGAAGTGAGTGGAACACACTGTCCAAAAACATATCAACAACTTGCCATCGGTGCGACAGTTTGTCTTAACAGCTGTCAAACTTGAAATGTTTGGTGGCTAAACATGTCATGTCTTGCACCCTATTAGAACATGTTTTCTGTATCGTGTCCAGGCGTAAATACAACAGATGGTAAATCATTGATTTCAATTAAATGTGTACTTAATTGTCTCAAGCCCTCAAAATCTAAAACTTTAGACTATTAGGTTCTATTTCTGGGACAGTCTGTGACAAATTTGTGTCCTCTCATTGGGTTCTTGCAGGCAGAACAGACTGGACGTGCCCTTATAGTTTGCCCTCTTGGTTGTCTCTCTGTCTAGTCTGGCACTGCTAAGAAAGAAAAACAATGTGCCAATTTATTTTGTGAAAAGTGTGTAGCATAAGTATAAACATCAATGTAACTCTATAACATTGCAAATCGGAACAACAACTTCAAAAAGGAAAAGTGAACATATTACTCACTTGTGCTTCATGCCAGATCTAATAGAATTTTTGGTGTAGTGTAAGGAGGCTTACCTGGCAATGAGGAAGGTCCTGCTGTTGGGTCTGATGTGGGAGGTACATCCCTTGTTACCATCCTCAACCTTTCTTCTCTTTTCCTAATAGCTTCCTCTCTAGACTCTTTGTCCACAAGCATGCTAACCATGTGATCTGGTGTTATTTCCTTCAGTTCTAAGGCTGCATCCTGAAGCTGTTGCTTATTCAGCCCCAGAAAGAACTGAAAGAGATCTTCCACATAGTCTAAAAATGAAAAACACTATCTTACTAACATTCCCTACGTACATGTGTCAGAAAATGATACATTATCGTTACTCAGATGTTGTAGGTACCAGCTTAAAAAAGATTCATCAGAATATCAAACACCAAAAACTGAGGATAAGTAGGTGGTTTGGTAGGTGTAAATGGTGTGGATCCACTGGAATGACTTTGTAATTTGTCAAAAACCTATGAAAAACTAGGAGAGAAAACAGAAATACAAAAACCATCCTATGCCTGTACTCTTTGTGGTTTGCAAGGGAACATTCCATTTAGAATACATTTCTAAACTAATTAAGATTGATCATTTATTTACCAAAGTTTTGTTCGATCTTTCGACTTCTAACGGTTGCTTCGCCATTTTTAAATTTGGGGTAGCTGACTTTCAGAGGCACAGTACCATCTTTGTTGACTTTCTCCTCTCTATGTAAATTAAAATTGAAGTGCAAAGCTGCCAAAATATGCCTGCAATAAAAGTAACATAACATAAGTTAGCATAAAAATTCCAGATATGTTCAAAAAATTATGGCACCAAAAAATTGCAATGCAAAGACAATCCTGTATTTGTTGTTCCCACAGTGGTATTGAAGTGGTCAAATTGATATCAGTAGTAGTAACACTCAGCCTTACCTACAGTACATCCCAATGTAGGAGTAAGCAATCAACTTTGGAGCAAACAAGTTCAAAACGGAATGAAAGCCTTCCAGGCAGTCTGTCTGTACACTGGGGGAAGCTTGCATTATTCCCTTCTTTAAACTATCAGCCGTCAAAGCCTTCTTTAACTTGTCATATACATTTCGGTCTTAATTGAAAAAATAAGAAATGAATCAGCTTTCAGTATGCCACTTTTGCAGTTAATGCCACACATACAGAGGATAGACTGTATTACAGATAGGAATTACAGAATTTCAGTTAGCATGAATTTCAGCACCCCCACCCACCTCCACCAAGCAGACCCAACCCGAGAAACTAGTACATTCGCTGCACACCCACTGTCAACATTTCTAGTACATCTTTAAAAAATAATGTACATGTAGAAAAGGGGAAATTTGCAATCATTACAAATGAACAAAACGCAGAACGCAGCATGCATGCATGCATGCATTCTGGTCAAAGGATTCATAACAGGTAAAAGGTTTATGTACCTGGATCAAGCCATTTCCTATTAGGAATGTCACCATGCGCACATTTGTTAAACAGTGGTTCATCTAAGCCAGAGTGTTTGTTTACAATGTGGCTAAGAAACGACTTGAACTTGGCCCAGATCACTTTTCCATTGCCATCTGAGGTAGTGGTTGCGCTCCAATAGAGGTGCCTCTCACAGGGCTTCACCCATTCTTTCAGGTCTTCATTGCCTTTATCCTTCGCAATTTTTGAAAGTACTTTCCTGATCTCTGCAATACAAGTATGCGAATTCAACGAAAAATATTACTCAAGATAAGTTTTTGTTTCCTAGATAATCAACAGGAACGTTCTTGACCCAATAATAAATTATTATACCTACTTTACACTGTATCTGCAGGCCCCAGTCGTTCAAAAGCTGGATAGCACTATCCACTGGATAAATTACTATCCAATGGATAAGTATTAGGGAAACCAACTGCACTATCCACTGGATAGAGATTTATCAAGAGGATAGCGCTATTCACCTTTTGAACAACTGGGACCAGGACTATATATCCTGTAAGACTGTCTGTCTGAGATACAATGTAAATAATGTACTTAAATCAACACTGCATCTTTACAGGAAGTTTACGCACATTGTTAAAGTTTTTTTTCCCTTAATTCAGGGAATGTGAATGTTTCTTTCAAATTTTGCCCTACTCTTACATGCAAATGTGAGAAAGTGTAATTTTCGAAAAAAAATTCCATAGAAAAATTGTAGTAAAAACGTATAACAGCAATAGATCTCTTACTCTTTTTCAGGTGCCAGAGGTCGAAGTAGTGTGTTATATTTTTTAGCACATTCTTCATGTGACTTGCGATCTGAGTATGTCTGTCTGAGATGAATGTACTTATAACAACACCACATCCCAGCAGGAAGTCCATGCACGATTGGAACCCCAAGAATTCCATTGCTGGGCTGTTTCCCGCTTGATTTCTCTGACATGAAAGAGAGAAATTGTAAATATTTCAATGTAACTTCAATATGTTTATTACTTGTATTCAATGATATGTGCTGATCATTCGTATTAATATATAACATATGGAAAAATTGGTTAGAAATCAACAAATACAAGAGCAAGTGACATGTTATAAATACTTTGCAGTGAGATCAGCTGCCAAAGTTTTTTTTTTTAAACTTCTGCTTTGTTTTCTGACTCAGTCTATTTTAAGACACTGTACTGTAGTAACAACTAACAATACAAACAGACAGAATCTTGCAAAGATGGTCGATACACAACCAACAAAATGTGATTGAATCTACAGGAACATTAACAAGGTATTCACACCAATGGTAATACAATAATAAAACAGTTCAATTAATAATGTACCTGAACAAGTGCAAAGTGGATAATGCGAGGTAATGTGCCGCAGAAGATGGTATATGAAAATAAAACAAACTACCCTGATTGGCCCTAAAGAAAAAGGTGGTCTCTCATTGCCTGATTTTGACATAATTAACAGTGCTCTCAAAGCAACTTGGATCAGAAGACTGGACAGCTGTCATCCCACCGCGAGTTGGACTCACATTCCTGTTTCCCTGCTAGAGCGAGTTGGTGGTCTCTTTCTCCTTAAATGTAACTTTGAACTTAAACATCTTAACATACACATTCCATTAATCTTTTACGAGAAAGCCTTGTTGGCCTGGCAATCTATAAATTCGTTCACTCCCTCCTCAAAAGAAGAAATACTGAATGAAATCTTATAGAACAACCGCTTTATTAGGATCAACAATTATTCAGTATACTATAAAGCATGGCATGTAGCGGGTGTTGAAAAAATTGGAGATCTCTTCAACGGCAATACCTTTCTATCTCACCAACACTTCTGCTCTTATTTTGGTCTTAAAACTAACTTTCTTATCTACTACGGTTTATGCAAAGCAATTCCTCCCAACTGGATTAAAATAATGAAAGGTAAATTACAACCGCCTTCGAATAAATCCGTAAGTATGGATAGAATTCCCGTTGAGAAGCTTTCTTCTAAACTTGCTACCAACTTTTTTGTTGAAAGAAAATTTGTTCCTGCCACCGCCAAAAAAAGACTCAGAAAAGCTAGTTTAAATGAACAGCAAATTTCTCAAATTTACAAGATGCCTTCCAGTGCTACGAAAGACATACAACTCTCAATGTTTCAGTTCAAGATCTTACACCACATCTTACCCACCAACGCTACATTATATAAATTCGGAATTAAGGAGCATGACCGCTGTCATTTATGCGCTGAAAAGCAAACAATCACACACCTATTTGT